CTTTCACGATGCACTTCAACCTTATCTCTCTCTCTCTCTCTCTCTCTCTTTGTTTTACCAAGTTTAATAAACACTGAGAAACGAGCTCAGTCTCACTCACTCTCTTTCTCACTCTCTCACTCTCTCTCTCTTTCCTTCTTTCTTTTTATTTCTCTTTTCTTTTTCAACGTTGTGTCATGTTGAAGGTGTACGATGATATTATTATTTTTAGAAGTATAGTCATAATTGATTTTTATCTGATCGCATAGGTGAGCTTTTATATCTCGTGACTTTTAAAGAGTGTGATAATATATATCTGTGTGTGTGTGTGTGTGTGTGAGAAAGTGAGAGAGAGATAGAAAGAGAGGAAAATAAATATATATATATATATAGAGCTTTCAAACTTCAACCAATATTATCGTTCATGTACGACGTGATGTAATTAAAATAGCTCGTTGAAGTGGTGTTAAAACTGATTTACCCATCCCGAACTTTAATAAATTTTCTATATACACATTTTATATCATTTTCTTTTATAATATTTAATAAACAAATGATATTATATTGAATTTATGAATTTATTTATATACAGATGTCTAAAATTTGTTGTCGAATTTTTTTAACTAAGTATTAGACGTATAATTTTTTTTTTCTTTTTTCCCCCCCGGGATTTGAACTCGGGAACATACGACCTACTATCTACTGGATAGACATTACTGAATGGTGATTTGCCTCACTGAGCCATGCTAACTTACAAATGATATTATAATTAAGTTACTTTTTTTGTTTGTTTGAAGTTATATTTCATTTAATTAATTATATTATCATTTTTTCTATTTGGTTTACTTTTTCTATTTTTATTTTGGTTAATTTTATTTTTTTTTTGCTGTATACACAATTATGAATAATAATAATTATTATTAGTAGTATGTAGCAAGGAGGCTATGTTAAAAACCCGCGAGGGTTGACATGGGAATAAAGTGTATCTGTATCTGTAATAATTATTATTATTATTTGTGTTATTAATTAATAAAATATTATTTCTTAATAATTAAACTTAATATTAATTAAATTAAAAAAAAAAAAAATACAAAAATATAAAAAAGAAAAAGAAGAATAAGAAGTTATGAGTTAAGAGAAAAAATGGTGTACATTTTTTGAATTGCTACGCCACGCCCCTACCAGAGATCCCAATACAGTTGTCTTATTTTTTTTTTTTTTTTTTTAGTTTAATGTGAAAATTTTTTTAATTAAACTTATCGGATAAAAGTCCTCGTTACTTTTCATTTTCGCAAAACCACATAATTAAAGGTCACGATATTTTTCTACAAGCTTCGATTATACGAGTTTTTTCTACATAGCATACATACACACACATACACACACACATACACATAAATACTTTTTCTCGTTTCCATTTTAACAATTTTCTTTTTTTTTTTTTACGCATCACATTATTTTAAACTAAATAAATTCAATATAATTTTCACGATATTGTCAAAAAATCAATCGTTAGATAATGTTTGTTATTTCAATCTTATCTTAATATATATAAATTATGTGTCACGTTGTTTGTCTGCAATGGACTCCTAAACTACTGAACCGATTTTAATCAAATTTTGCACACTATGTGCAGTTTCATCTAACTTGAAAGATAGAATAGTTTATATCTCAATTTATAATCGCAATATTATTTTATTGCGAGTTATAACTTAAAGACGTGTGTATCGGACTGATTGTGAGCCACAGCAACGCGTGGTGGGGCACCACCCCTAAGTATTATATAAAATTCATATAGTGTTCAAATATAAATCTTTAAATATCTTGAAACAAGAGATACATGACTTAGATCACTTTCATAATTATGGGCACATATATGTATGTATGTATGTATGTATGTATTGTATGTAAATTAAGAAGATTTTTTTTTCTTGTACCTTTTCGAAATAATTACGTAGCAAACAACCAAATGAAAACCATATAGGGGTGTTGGTGATCTTAATTGACGATGTCTCGACGAAAGGACGTAAGCAACCCCAAAAATTTCCGACCGACACCATACGGTCGTGTCTAAAAGGGGTTGTTGGTTGATCTATAGTGTTCTTTTGCATCCCCCTTCTATTAACTTTGAGTACTTTTTGTTCGAATTCATTCTACCGATTTTTTCATTTTTTTTTCTTTTTTTTTTTCCTTGACTTTACTACTCTCTCTCTCTCTCTCTTTTATTTTATTTTATTTTATTTTTAAATAAAACATTAAATAATAATTAAGATTTTATTTAATATTATATTAAATCGACTGATTTGCAATTAATTACAATTAATTCAAATTATAATATATATTATACACTAAATTATAATTTAATTACACTTTGATTTACAAAACAATAAAAATTTATAAATTTTTTCTTTTTATTTTTTTTTTTTTTTATATAAAATTTAATTAACAATTTACAATACATAAACAAAAGGGAGAGAGTATAATCTTTTATCTATTTTTTTTTTTAATAATACTATTATTTTATTATTATTATAAATATAATATTGTTTATCCCAAAATTGCATAATATATCATCAATCTAACAAAAATATCAAAATAACCCATAAAAATATAATACTAATTTAATATACAAAAATTATTATTATTATTATTATTATTATTATTATTATTATTATTATTATTATTATTATTATTATTATAAATATACTATTATTAATCCCAAATTTGCAAAATAAATCGATCTAACAAAAACATAAAAATAACCTAAAAAAAAAGTATGATACCAATTTAATATTAAAAATTATTATTATTATTATTATTATTATTATAATTTTTAATATAAAAAAAAAATGAAAAACAAATAACAAATTCCCCCTACTCATACATTGAAAAAGATTCTAGCTAATGATAACGATAAGAGAAACCGAGGTCGAGAGTCAACGAACCATTTGTTACCGACCGAGTATCGATAACGTAGAAAACCATTTTATTCGTCGAGTTTGTATCCCCCTCCCCCACGATATACAATGGAAAAAAATAAAACCCAACAGAGTAGGGGTGTGTTGTTATAAGCAGAAAACGACCCTTTTCTCTAACCAACTAACCCTCCTCACCTCTACCCCTCGAACATATAAAACTCGACAAAAGAAGAGGGAATAAAGTAAGTTAAGGGTCACCTAGGACAAATACGCGAGCTCACATTTTTTTCTTTTTTCTTTTCTCGACTCGTGCGTGAGATTACCTTTTAATAACAACCCCTC